AATGTAGATTTGTGCTGCGAGAATCTTTGTTTGAATGTTCCTTCTGTCAGTCCGATGTAGTTCTTGGTTGTGTTGCTGGTTGTGACTTGCGCGTTGTAGATTACACTGGTAGTTAAGCATTTGTTGTCTAGCGGGCATTGGTCTTTATTGCGGCAGTTGCATTGTTCTCCGGTGGTTGCGTTGGCGTTGTTGTCGGCGTTTGTTACTTTCATGTTGTGTTTGTTGATAACTGTTTTCATGTTGTCCATACAGCTGTAGCTGACTTTTACGTTATTTTTGTTGAAGAGGCTGTGGTATTTATGCTGGTTCGGGAAGTGCTTAGATATGAGTTTCAGGAATGTTCTGCCAATGTTCGTCTTAACGTTTTTACTGAAAGGAGGGTTGTACCATATAATGTTTCTTTGTCTGTTGCGTCGGGGGCGTGCTGGTTGATTGTCTTTGTTGTATATTAGTGTTGCAGAGTGTCCGCTGGCTTTCAGAGCAGTTTCGTAGATTGGTTTGGCCTTGTTAAATTCGTGTTCGTTGCATGAGTTGTTCTTAAAGGTATAAACTAGTTATTTCTCAGAGTGACAAAGTATTCTAAYTTCATTTTATACACAAATCAAATCTCTTTTTTGTGCGGTTTACAATAATTTCTTGTCTTTGCACARGGAGCACAGGCTCTTTATCAGTGGTTCTTATGTAACCACCCCTCACGTCCCCTCTATATTTTACCGTTATTTTACGATTTTGTATGATGTTATTGAATCGTGAATTTCTTACTTGGATTGCAACGAAATCACACAAAACTATAACATCCTGTTATTGATGCATACAGCAATCCCCAGGAGAAGTTTCAGACCATTTGGTCGAGTATATATACCTTTCTCCCCACCAACCAAACAAAGAAGAAGCAAAATAAAGGTAAAATATAGAGGGGAGGGGTGGTTACATAAGAACCACTAATAAAGAGCCTGTGCTCCCTGTGGTCTTTGCAGATAATTCTTAACATCCATAAACTTTATTCATGGACAAAACAACAATCAAATTGCGCGCAATTGGTACGATATCATTTGCGAAAGTTATGCAATCTAATGAGCTGCAGTAAGATAAATAGCCAATTGAAATTAATTAGTTGAAAATAATCTGAGGAGATATTGGCAAAGATAGATATAAAAAAAAGTATAATGCTTGGCTTCACATGATTGAAATCCACTGTTATTATTTGAAGGGACTTTGGGCTTAATTCATTTGATCTGAAGATAAACTGAATTAACACATTTGAAATATATTATTGCAAATCTGCAGTAAAGGCCAAATAACAGTGTTCTACTGGGCAAATACTTGTCTTCAAAAATAGATTCATTATTATGTAACAACTAGCAAAAGCATTGCATTGTATACCAACAAGCARTGTCCAAGCTGTCAATGACGTARCATCACTGCATGTGCCGTCATGTGACTGCTTGATAGCTATTCTAAGAAATGTTGTTCATAGTCCAAATGTCAAAATATATAGACGATAGTACCACAAATCACTAATACTGACCTCAAACCAAACGTTCTCTTGCAATATATTATTTCATCAATGCATATTGTTTAGCTAGTGGTTTTTGTATGTTTCTTAATATCTTCCAAGAAACTTCCAGCTGTCCACAAAAGGTAAAGGAAGATTTTCTATTCAGCCGTACCTACGTAGAAATCAATCAACAAGCCAATATTTGAAGCGTTATTCATCTGCTTTTGGTTAAGGAAATAGTTGACTCAAGAAGGGATGTTTGCCAGAACTGTCACGCTTCTTTCAGCAAGGGATTGGCCAATTGTTTGAGTACGGAAGCGACGTCTCAAATGATAATGAAAACTTGCACTACTCTTGATCTAGGCTTGTCAAAAAATGCTGAAGTGAATGAGAGGTATGTTTACTGGCTAAGCTAAACTGAGCTGTATTATGTTTCGTCGCTTACACAACTCGTTTCAGTTGGGAAGTAATGATCCCACTTAGAAAATTCTATTCTACAGTGAAATCAGTTCGTTCACCAGAAAATTGTCATAATGCCTTCCCGTAAAAGTGAAGCCGTCAAGGCTGCTGGCCGTTATAGTAGGACGCAGATATCTACAAGATGGAATTAATAAGAATAAGATTCGTCCACAAAAATCAAAGAAATGAGGATCACAAATAACACCCTATTGTTGGTACTAAAGTTACAAATACACAAGGTATTACCAAGTGASCGACGCGATGACACGGTGAAACGCTTCGAAAGAGAATGACTTGAAGAAGATAAGGCAACAGCAATATTTATCTAGGTAAAAATAAGTGCAAGTTCTRCATATCTCTTTATATATATTTCCACGAATAAATTAGTTTTTATGAATTAACCATATTTTCATTGTTTCTCTTTAGAAGCTACTATCGGCTAATACATGTATTAGTATGTCTTTTTCACATTCGATAGAAACGACAAAGGAAGTGTCATTTTCAGTRTACCTCTACTTATTTTTTACTATTTAATTGAATTGTCTGGTTTAAGAACGCTGTATATTAATATTACAGTTCTAAACACAGAATCAAAGTGC